AGCCAAGGTGGACTTACTAGTAGTAGGTTAGGAAACAGGAATCCCCTCCCTTGTTCAATGCAACATGTGGAATCCCCCACAGCCATACAGTTCCTAGGTTGAGCCCCCAGTATAAAAACAACCCTACAAAGAAGGCAAATATTACTCTGAACTCATAGAAAAAATGAGGCAAAAAGAAGTTAAGAGCCTTTACTCAAGATCTCATGGTAAGACTGGCTTGCAAAAGTCTTGCAAGTCTGCACATCTTCCCATTTTTGGATTTGGGATGAAGAGACCTGGTTAACAGAAAAACTCAAGTCTTCTCCATTTAATTTAGAGTGATCGGAGAAGAAATTTTAAGCTAACTGCAGATGAAAACAGAGGAAGCATACTTTAACAAGCATTCCAGAGACAAGCAAATTGCTGCAATGGACAAAGTTCATTTTATAATTGATTACTTGTTTGAATAGGCACACCACTGCACTTCTGAATGCTGCCTTCTACAAGTATTTAACACCATGAAGAAATGCAATGGAAACAAATGGGTGGATAGACAGGAAGGAATGTGTTTTACAAATTACACCTTCCATTATTTTAGGATGTAAAAAGCAAATACCATACGATACTTGCACAGAAGAACAATTTTACTATGTGTGGATAAGTATTAAAAATCTATAATTTTATAAAGAAAAAATGCCAAACGGGGCTGTTCAAATACTGCATTTTGCTTGACACTAAACCAAGTGGGATGCAGAACGTATTTTCACTGTCAATACCCCAACCAACCAGCAACGCTATTAATAAAATACGCAGGTGACCAGGTGCATAATAATCCTTACACTGGATAAGTAAAAAGCACGAATGGATCAGAAATGCCTAGAGAACTTGCCTGTGCACACCCCTGTGGGGTAACACAAAAAAGGACTTCTATCACTACAGTTTACTTAACGCTCAACCTAAGCCCTCTAGGAATCACCTAGAAAGACCAAATGTACTAGCAGAGTTTTAACAGGTGAGGATGTTACCCACAAGAACACAAGAATAATTAGGAGAAAAATAACCCCACACGTAATGGGATGTAGCTGCAAGACTAGCAGTTCACTGGAGCAACCCTAGCGAACGTTGTTAGGAACACTGCGTGTGGGCAATGTTTTACACATTCTAGGCACTCATACTCGGCGTTATAAACCTAATAATCCCTTAGTTTAAACAGACCTTTAGAGTTGTTGATTTTATTTCATTGAACTAAGCATTGCACATCCACATTTTTTCCATGCAGTGACTCTACTAGCACCACAAATAAACTCTACCAATTAGGCAGTACCAGTTAATGATAATGTCATGTGGCTCTGAAAGCCCTTCAGAGGGCTGATAAAGTCATGTTCCTCTACATTTTCACCGGTTATTTCAGCAGCTGCCAGACTCAAAATCTTGTGATTTTATGTGCCTTATTTGTAAACCAGGCAGGCAACTCAAAGTTCAAAGGTCAAAAGCAGAAGGAATGTTAATCTGCAAAGCTATTAATGGAAAGTGTTAAAATATGACACAACAGCTTTAAAAGCCTTATTCAGATATACCAAAGACGACAGTTGTAAACCCACATCCATCTGCTTAGAAGCTAAACTGTGGGAAGGGGTAGAGACCCCAGATACGGTTGATCTGTTTTTCCCTTCTACCCTCCCTCCGCTTCCTGCTCATATTTTCTTTTGTACGTTTGTTTTCAGAGCAGAAAAAGCTGAAGAGAAAGACAGAATGACAGGAAGCCTGGATAAGTTTAAACTTGTCAAAAGATGAATAGGATTTAATATATCCCTGACTCCTAAAAGAAGAAAACACACACAAAAAACGCCAGGCAACTAGAAAGAGGCAATCCCCTGGACCAGCTCCTAGTCACACAAATTCCTAAAGCAAATTTGACATTGGCAGAATGCACCATGAAAAATCATAGATCTCATCAATATCAAGTATTTCTTTTTTTATCTCATACTAAATAAAGAAACAACTACTTGCATGAAAGCCAGAGAAAAATTATGTTAAGACTATGATTTAGCTCACTGACCCTAGTTACTGAAATAAAAAGCAGGAATATCAAAAAGCCTACACACAAATTAAGAAACCTTTGCTATAAAATAAAATGGGTTTTTTCCTAATTCTCCAAATTTTCTATAGTCTGTCTAGATATTTTTTTGTCAATGATTTGTCAGCTACTCAACAATAAACAGACCCCATATGTGCTCCTGATTAGAAGAGGGAAGATTCTCTTATTTACAACATTGGGGCTTCCCTCTATCAATTTTAAAGATAAAAGTCCTTCCTATTCAAAGGCGATATTAACAAAAAATATTTTCCAGCCAAACTATTTGGAATTTGTTCGTGTATAACTAACTGAAATACAAGCCACCTTGTTAAATGCCAAGACTTCCCGTACAATAAATGCAGTGAAGTAAAGAGACTGGATGCAAACTGCTGCTCCGAGTGCCCCCTGCTGCCTGCCCACACTTCCGAGACTGACGCACACATTTTCAAGTGTTAAGTTCAGGAAGATTTGCCACCCAGAAATCCACTCTAAAAACAAATATTTGGTTTTGAAAGCCATATTGTAAACTTTGAAAAATACTTCTGTAGAGCCTAAATGCAAACTGATAATAAAAAATACACTTTTTCAAAAATGTTTTTTAAATAATTACTAGTTTTTTCCTTCTGTTGATCAACATTTTAAGACAACTGAATTCTCTCCATTAATAAAAACATGCAGAAACAGCATAACCTGCACATCCAGATGGAAGGTGACTTGTAGCCCAACAGTAAATTAAAATTAAATTACATATTAAGGAGGATATGATTAAGTGACAGATCACTGAAACACATTAAGCTGCTTCTGAATTTCCTACTACTGCAGATGGAGCGAGCCTCTAAGAATCAATAGATTTGGAGGAAATCAATGTAAAACTGAGCATGAAAAGTACTAATTTTTAAGTAAACAATGCATGCATATCTTCCTAAGTCTTACAATCGTTTCTTCCCCTTTTCATTTTAAAAACTGGTATTTTTGCTGCTATACTTTTAGCATTAAAGACAATTATACTCTGAGATATACAGCCATAAAGAACAAGACTATAATGTCAAAATTTGATAACACAGCTAGGACCTTTACTTACTATGTGTTTTCTGAGCAACAAGAAGCTAAAACTGGTCTGAAATCTCTACACCTCAGAAATTTTGTATTCTATAAATACTTTTCATTTATTTTCAGTTATTTTAATAACTCATACCATCTGGATCCTGGTTTATTGGATACAAATCCAGCTGGAAGAAAAAAAATCACTTTAGCTGCACACCTTAAAAAAACACTGTAACAATTTGAAGGTAACTTATAACTTTAACATGACATTCTTGCTTTACGGAAAGTTATGCAAGTACAGTGAAAATTAACAAAGATTTACAAAAGACTTAATTAGAGAAGTATCTGTATATCTACTAAACTCACTCCACATTTTAAAAATAGTATGATGTTAAAGAGAGACTTAAAACATGTCTATAAAGATGGCGTATTCTTAATTTCATAATAGAGCTTATATAGAAAGTCAACTTAAATACTTATACTTACGAACTTTGTCTCTTTAAAACCTCATTGAATCCTTAGAAGCATTATTTATCATATTTCACTGCAAGATTTCTTAGCTCGGAAGACTACTCATTAAACCATATTCCTGTTTTCTGTTCTCTTTAAACAAACAAAACTTTATACTTACAGACACTTGACTATCAGTAAACGTTTTCTCCATGTATAAATGGTTTAACAGCTCATTGTTAAGGAACAGTCCCTTCAACTTTATTGTCACGCTCTTTCTGAACACATATTTACTTCTTCCAGAGTCCAGTAAAAAAATGAGGCTTCTCTGCCTGTTGCCCTATCAACACCTCTCCCATTCTCCTCCCTCCCCAGCACATTCTCCGCCCTCAATACTGGTTCTCTATCTTCTCATCAAAAGGAACAGGCAGCTTTCAAAATGGTGTTTAGGCAGGTCCTGGGTAACAATAAAGCTTCTGTGAAGACAACAGCATGCTGCTGAAGAATCTGCTAATGTAAAATGCATTCGGTACGGCCAACAGGACTCTGTCTTAAACGTTTGTCCAAACTTGTTTAAGCATTGAGTCAACGTCGGTTTCTCCTCCAAAGTATTCTCTTTTTTAATACATTCCCCTTTGTTAAGCATATTATCTGAATGAACTAGGTCATCAATCCCTATTAAAAATACTTAAAATATAATCTAAAAATACTTAAAAAAAAATTGTTAAAACTTGTAAGACTAACAGCAAATTTCTTTCAGTTTCTGGCATGTAGGTACGTGTCTCAGTATGATTACAATCACATGTATGCATATTATGCAATCTATCTCATCCTACCAAAATGCTCCGTGTTCTTTTGAGTAAGCAGGGCATTGGCATTTACAAGGATCGCGTTCCAAGTGAAATATGACTCTCATAATTTTCAATACCACACCTACTCTCCAGACAAACCAGCAATATCTGTGTATTTTCAGAAAGAAATGCACACACTTCCTGCCTGACAAATAATGCTTAAATACCATCCTCCTGCAGTTCCTCGGTCCAGATGGAAGTGTAGAGGATGGGATTTTTACTGTATTTTTTTAAGTATCAGAAGAACAGATGAAATGTTTTGATGATTTAATATTGAATAAAAAGCAGCAGCTCATCTAGAAGCTCCACAGGTGAGGACTTTTTTTTTTTTTTTTTTTAAAAAAAAAAGGTCACTGGACTGATAAATCCATGACGGCAGTGAAAATTAAATGGCACCAACTCCTAGCCAAAATCCCAGCAGTTTTAAGCGGGGAGACGGGGCCAGAAACAATTCACAGATAGCTACAGTGCTATCGTTTGTGCCGTATGTGCTCTGTGATTGTGTTCTAGAAATACCAATTCAGTTCCTTCAAGAAGGCCTCAATTCATTCCCTAACATTAACCAGGTCCCACAGAGCAAAAATCCCTCCTTACCCCCATTAGCATGTGCCACGACAAGACGACGTACCAGGCAACAGGAAGAGCAGACGAGGGAGGGCAGGAACAGCGACATGAAACCAGTCACCCGGTTCCTCATTCCCACCGGGAATTGCACGGGCGATCTGCTGTGCAGCAGAAGCTCTAAGCAGGAAGGCTGCAGGTGCCCTCTCCCTCGGGCAGCTGTAGCACGAACAGTACATGCACGAACAGTAAATGCTCCCAGAGCCCACAGCAGGTACGCCGCGCTGGGAGATACCACAGTCATGGTGTGCAAAGCCCTTCGCTGTACAAACAAGCAAGCTCACATCAAGTGAGAGGCAACGCAGCTTCCTGCGCCGACCATACAATCCATAGTCCCGCAGTGAAGGAGAAGCAATGTCCGTCCTCGACTAAGAACATAATCAGTTCAGAACATGGGTTTATCAAACCCAGAATTATGTTTCCCGTAGTGGCCACCCATGGATGCCTACCAACGAGTAGCACAGGGCAACATACAGGACATTTCCCTGATTACATTCTCCCGGACTCCAGGTATTTTTAGTTCGGGAGATTTCCTGAACCTGGTGTGGCTTGTCTCCTTACTAATCCCCAGTGGCTCCCTTTTCCAGATACTTGTCCACTTTCCCCCCAGGACATGCAAATTTCTTGCATCCACAGCACTCAGTGGTGAGGCGTCCCACAGACCGACTCACCTCCTGCATGAACAATCGCCGCCTTCTGTTTGCTTTGCTCCTGGCTCCAGCTACCTTTAATTAATGGTGCCGACTTCTTGTCCCAAAGGAGCCAGTGAGCAGTCAATCCCAACTACTTTCTCTATGCCACCCATGATTTTGTACTCTTTCTTACGCCCTTCTGAGCCTTTTTGACTTCTACTATATCATAACATTTTTCTAAATAAAGAGACCAGGTGTGGGCAAATCACAGATGTATACAATGGAATCATGCGGTTTTTTTTCCTCTATTCCTTCCCTAATAATTCATAATGCAGAATTTTGTTTCATTGCTACTGTACTGAGCTGATGTTTTCATGCAACACTCCCTTATAACTCAAAGACCTCACTTCTGAGAAGAAGCGGTCAGCTCAGAGACATATATCATTTGATATATGAAGCTGGGGCTATTTTGCCTCATTTGCATTGCTTTACATTTATCTGCATACATTTTCATCTGCCATTTTGTTGTCCAGTCATTCAATCTTATAAAAGCAGCCTGCTCTCATCTTCAGAGACGGCTCTTGTCCTTATTACCTTGAGTAACTTCACCTCACAGCTCACCTTCTTGGGAGGAGCCTTAAAAGATGCTCTTGAATCAACAAGTGTAACATAAGAAACTGAATCAAGGGCCAGCCTTAAGCAGCAAGTAATTCTGGGTTTCAATAACAGACCCCAGTGCAGTTAAGCTATTTTTCTGCCTTAATGTCATGTGCCTCATGAATTAGACTCAGAACAGCAAACAGTTTCAGTTCAAAGAGGGTAAGCACAATTTTAAAAGAACGCTAGGTACCAAAGGTTACAGAGAAAGACACCCCTGAGAGGTTGCCCACCTACGAAGAGTCCCAGTTCTGCAAGCACTGACTGTTTCATCACTACTAAAGGAAACCAGAACCAAAAGAATAGAGCCAAAACCAAGGTCTGATGCCTTATATTGCTGAACTAAAGGACATGACCCCTCTGTAGCTTCAAGTGGTTACTTTAATTTGTTCGTCCTGGCTGACCCTTGTAGTTCCACAAACGTGGCTGCATCAGAGTTCTTGACAGCTTATGAATTCACCTGCGTTCACTCAATCACACATCTCAAGAATGGCGGTACTGGCTACTGACAAGAAGTAAGGCCTGCTGCCTGAGGATTTATGCAGAACACAAGTTCGTATCTAGTCCCCAAAAGCTTATACTGTGCCTCTAGTTCTCTGGCAGAAATTGGTTTGTGTTGGAGAGCCAAGCCCAGAGGCAATAAGGCTTGGACAGCACTTGAGCGGCAGGGTCAGACAAGGTACTGGTTGCTTCCTCAGGGAGAAGTTTCTCCATAGTGTGCCATGTCTTTGCACATATGGGGACTGAATTCCCTATGGAATCCATCCTAGGCAACACTGTTGGTTTCTACTCAGGCTCCAAAGGATGGGGTGAGCTCTGCTATGATGAGCACTGCCATATGCACCTCACAAAGAAAGCAGAGATGAGATCCAGCTCTCAGCACATTCTCCAACTACTCCACTTTTTACATGCAAATTTACATGGCGAATTTCTCCAGAACCTAAAATAAAGAAAATAACCCAAAAGCAGGAGAAAATAGTAAACAGTAAAATTACTCAAGTATGGTCATTTTAACAATTGCAATAACAGAAAATAAATCCCATTATTCTCAGTGCCTGGAAAAAAAAAAACATCACACAGTTTAACATTCTGGATTGTATCTAGAAATAAGTATCTCCAATTCATGATAAAGAGGTTACACACAACTATACTCATCTGTTGACCAACCCACCTTTGTCAGGTACTTTACAAAACAGTGTGAAGAAAGAGCATAAGAACTTTTCATGCTAAAGTCTATAAAGAAAAACTTAAGAGCATATATTGGTAATCTTTAAAAATTATGGTACACTATAAAATACCAGAAAAGGTTTAACATTAATGCTAGTGCACAATCTGTGGAGAAAATAAATAAATGAATACTGCTAGCATGATGTTTTCCTTCTTTAGGGAGTCACAATGGATATAACTACCTGGTAAGATCACACATGCCAAAGTAAAAGCCTAAAGAAGATCCTCTGGAGTACGCTGAAAAGAGTTTGAAATTCTTAATAGAGCAGTCTAGAGAACCAAACGTGAAAAAATTATGCTCTTGGAAGTCTTTAAGACATACTAAGAGTGATGACAGCCAAAAAAAAGTCTAAGGGATAACACAGGCATCATCCAGAATGAGGTGATGGTAACCTAAAGGGACAGTGGCTGTATCTGTGCTAGTCAAATAAATAGCGCCATAATACCGTGTAGTTGCAAAGAGAGCTGGTGCTTTCTGGCCACTGTCACACCACTAAGCTCTCCCAACCGCCTATCAATCAAGTTGGTTGCATCCAAACTGCCTGCTGGGCACAGTGATGCTAGCTATTAGGGCTAACTTCTAAACCATGTCCGAAATCATTTGAGAAAATACACTAGTTGGCCCAGGACGAAGCCACGTAAATGACAACTCTAACAACGTGACAGCACAAAGGTTGCAATCCCCTGCCTGCCCCCGCGTCCTGGCACTGCTTCATTTACCAGCACAGCTGCGCGGCCACTCTGCAGCACAGCAGGTAAACAGCTCCAGCCAGGAGCGCAACAGCCGAAGGTCTGAGCAGAGCAGAAGAATGCCTGGCGGAAACCGCCGGATGCTTTCAAAGCCTTACTACTCAGCTCCATGACCACATAAGCTACAGTAATTCAAGGTAAAGAAATCAATGTTTAACGTCATGGCTAACTTACACTATTTAAAGCTATACGTTGTAGTTCAGCAAGAGGGTTTGAGCTTGAGCTATTATAGCAAGAAACTGTAAAATGACTAAGCGCACATCTCATGCTTTGCACTGTTTTAAAAGCTGAGCCCTGCCTGGTGGCACACTCCAAGAAACAGGATCTGGTCTTCACTGCTACTCCACCAAGCAACACCAGACAGGTTCTGGCAAAGGGAAGAGAGAACCAAAGAACCTAGGCTGTGGTCACAGATCCACGAGGCTTCCAAAACAGCGGTGTTAGGGGCTGGACTGTATTAGCATTCGGACTTCGGAATATCCGTATATGAGACAGGAGTAGCCCTTTAAGAACTCTACTATTAGCATGCTAAAAATACAGAACTACCTTTTACATACAAAAATGGAGACTGTATTCTTGCATACAGTTTTATTTCACACCTGGCCTTTTCTCCACCTTCATGAAAGCAGACAGCAAAACTGTCAATTGGTCAGTTATATCTTAGATAAAAATTAGGACAAAATACATGCAAAAGATGCAATACTTAAAGGTAGTACATGGTGGAACCTGTGTATACCGGCAGCCCATGGCAAGTTATCACAGCTTAAAAAAATTGGTGAAACCTAAGACAGAAATATACATTCTTTTCAAATTTTAAATTCACAATTATAAGCTAGGAATGAAGAGGCCTCTTGATTTAAATCACGTAATTATACTAGCCGTAGTGGTGGTGTTGAGGCCAGGGTGATGATCGAAGAACGTCAAAGAAGCAAGCTCTGCAGGGAGAGCTAATACTTTTTATTAGATAACTGACAGGGTGGGAAAAGTTTGGGGCATGTTTATCTCTTCTTGTCTGATTTTCCTACTATACTAGTTGGTCTAATATAAGCTATTATCTCCCTGTGTAAGCTTTGTCTGATTATTTAAATCAGTCAAACAAAGACAGGTACCCACTTAAAAACTCATTATTAAGTCAAATGAGCATTTAGGGGGTTTTGCCACCCACAGATGCCAAAGCTAATATCCAGCAGAGACATGTCATTCATTAGTATAAAAACCTCATACCAAAGAGATGTGTTGTATGCTTTCAATTAGCAGATGAAATGCAAAAAAACAGTTGCTTCAGTGGAATTAACAAAACAGAAAAAACCCAAGCATTATTATCTAAAATAACAGCTAATAATATTACATTATTAATGGTTATAATTAAGATAGAACATTCTAACAAAATTCCTCACACTGATTTTTAAAAGGAATATATGATACATTCCAACTTTGAAAACATTACTAAACTCTAGAAATTTGATCCAACAGATGTTCTTTTTCATATAGGATACAGCTTTAAGGTTTCCAAAACAGTGTGAGGACAAGAAGAAAAGCAGCAACAGCCATCTTGTTTTGTCCTAATATTTAGTTAAAAGAATCAAACAGTCTTTAATTTAAAAAAGATCTCTACATTAAAAGATTATTTAACAATACTCAAAGAACTTGACACTTGCTTGCCTAAGATATTATGTCTCTCATGATACTATTCTGCCCTATTTTTAAGCACAGAGAAATACCAAAAGTACAAGTGCCACAATGATTTTCAGGAAACACAACAGCTTTGAATGTTCTCCTTGGCAAGGAGGAACCTAAATTTGTTGACTTCAAGGGAATACTGCAAGGGTCCGCCATTTTTACAGACCTCAAGAAAAATTAGGATATGAATGGAATGAGCTACAGTTGAAAGTGTGGAATCTGGTTCCGAAACTGTTGATGAGTAAAAGGATTACTCTGTTTAATGTAAATTTTTACAAAGGCAGTGTTCTAGTCTCTGCAGTCTCACAGAGTCACCTTTAGTGTGTTTATAAATCTATAAACAATGTCTTTGCCAGGACAGAATCGTGCAAGAGGATGAGAGTACTGGCACTTACCTACAGGGAAGAAAAGTAGGAAGAAAGATAGGATCATGGTCTCTCCTTAGTCCAGATATTAAATAATCCTAAATCATGGCAAGTTCCATTTAGCTTAAGCTACACCTTGCAAATACGAACCAGCAAACATGCTATAAATTAAAATTGGTGGAAATCAGAGAGTTTTAACATGGTTGTTAACGGACACTATTTCATAATGACAAATGATTTGCATAGGAAAAATTATTACTACATATAAAATATGAATCTGTTCTTAAAACACCCAGATTTCTTGTAATTTAATAAAGAAAAAGTTCTAAATACATTTCTTGTGAAAGCAACATAATTAAGGCATATCCTAGATATGGTCATTTTCTGAATTCAGTTCCAACTTACAAGATAATCATATTCAGCCCTGGTGTGAAAAAGCACCATTTCCACAGTTCAGAAATAAAATTGTTTATTTTGTGTTTTGCGAGACATTTTCCATACCATAGTCGTAGCATAACTGCATCCATTAATTCTGCACTCTCATCCTATTTTGATCACTGCAGATTTAAAATAATCTTGTATACAGGTTCTCTCAGTAAAAACAGCACCTAGAGGTTAATCCTACAAACTTGTCTGTTTTCTTCTATGCATAACACAGCTTCTGCAGGTAAGAGGAAAATGCTTAAGGAGGGGCAACTGTGTCATTACAGCTAATTCTAACCTTATAAGAATATTGTCTGTGCATGTATAGCCAGCCATAATCTAACACTTTAAAAGAAAAAGTACTCACTTGCAATCATTGGTTTTATTTATTAAAATAATATATAAAAATATTTTATTCTCGGACAGATTAAAAAAAAAAACAAACTGCAAAGAAATCATGCCACCTTATGGCGGAAGACTGCAAAACTGACGGCTGGGATTTCACACACTACAGCTCCAAAGACAAGAGGAGCAAGTTCATACTTTCACAAAAAAATCCAAGTACAGCCTTCTTCAGACCCATAAGCAAATGAACAGTGTTCAGCATATGCCCACAAAAGAATCTGCATGGAACCTACTTACACTGCTCAATTTAGAAGACTAAGTTGGATGCCAAAAGGAATCAAACCCACAAACTCAGAGAAGCATATTAATTTTCAGACTTCATGTTTGGGTTAGTACCTTATCCATTCTGCTAAGATAACTGGAGAGAACACAAAAACAACCGAGTAGCCTATATAATATGTTCATGATCATTATTCCAAAGGTGGAGTCTCTAAGAATTTCCTGGTATTGTTATTTCCTCTTCCAGCAACTCTAAATAGATGGCCTGAAATAATCTAAACATGCACTGACAACATTGTGTTCTACTACACTTGGTGTAACAGCACAAAAGTGCTGCAGTAGCAACGTTAAAGTTAGAACCAAAATCAAAAATGCCTCGAAAAACTGTTTGACTTATGAAGTTTTTTAAATTCTTCTCTGGCTTGGTATTTCTCTTGGCGGCTAGGATATCATTCTCTTACGGCATGCAGAGGGAAAAAAAGAGATTTCAAAGTGAAAAGAAGCAATTGACAGAGAGCAGCCCACACCCACATAGCTACATGTAATAAGGGCATTCATCCAAACAGAGATTTTAATACAGATTGTTTCTTTGTCTAATTCATCTAATTCATACTGTGACCTAGAATGTAAGTTTCCCCATCCCAAGTAACAGCTTTAACAATTAGGACATTGGGTAACACAGAGAGCCTCTCAATCCCTCCTGTTGGTCCTACTCAATTTGCGTACACTAACGAATACCAACTAAGACATAATGAGAGGAAAAATGGACTTTTTAGGCCAGTGACTATGACATCTTTCCGAAATTAACGGAAAGTAAGTACCAAGTCCCTATTTCAATGAATATTTATGCAATGTAAAACAGCTCCTACAACAGAAATTAAATTACATCCCTGGTGTTCAAAATATGAGAGGTGCACAAAAATCTCTATGAAATTTGAATCTGGAAGAACATCGTGTGAACCATGTTTTTCCTAATACATGTGAATTACTAGCACTAGGCTCTTAGATATTCTGAGAGAATTCTCTCTTACTGTGACCAGAAATTCTGTCAAAACTGGTAATATATAGTAGGAAGCTTTTTTAATTTAGAAGAATCACCATTTTCTGATGAAGAAGGATGTAGCTAGATGGTTCCCAACAGCTTTATCCAGAGGATCTTGCTCTGTTTTTTAAAGTTATGCACTTCCTGTATTAAAGTTATGAGTGCAAAGAAATGAAACAGTATTTTCCATGACTAGAAAAAAAAAGCAAGACACTTAAAAAAAGCTTCAGACAACAAGACAGAAATAGACCACAATGAAAAATGTCCTTTAAAACATCTGAGAAATAAGTAATTACGGTTCCTACCTGCATTCCCTAAGCACGCCAGAAGCTCCTTCCATATATATTGTTCCCTAAAAATCCAGTGCACTGAGCTCCCCTCTCCTTTAGTTCAGTCAGTGAAATGCCGTTCTTCCTACATTTTCCCACAGCAGGAAACTCAGAATATCTCCCTCTTTCCTCCTCCCATCTCAAAACGCTTTTTGAACACCTCCTTCCCATTTAGAGGAATCAGTATGCCACATTGCCTCCCATGCTGAAGAGCAGTATAATATGTATTACATGGCTCCTGTGCCAACACAGCTCTGCACGTATTTTGGTTTCTCCCCAACCACAAATCTTCTTCCAGATAAGCATGATAAAAGGGTAAGGGAAAAATCTCTCCATTCACCTTCACATCACTATGGGTCAGGTTTTCCCAAGGAAGAGCACTAGAAGAGAAAATATAATGAAGGCATATTCCTACAGCTAGTTGAGGGAGGCTCTCAGCAGAGCAGGAGGAGCCACTTTCTAAATTCAGATGGCTTTTCATTCCTTGGTTTCACCAAAATCAATAAGGTTTGGCCACTGAGGCCCAGGCAGCAGCTGATGTTATACCAGATGTGAAATAGCGTTATTATGTTACACTCAGAAAGACCCAAAAATCACCACAACCAATGCCCAACACCAAGTCCATTAGGAATTCCCTTTTCTAAACTGCTGACATAGAAGGAGAAAAAAAACATTTAAAAAACATTTTTTAAAACTCTTCCACTACATTCCCTAGGAATGTAGAGAGCCTGGTCCAGCAACAAATTTAACCCCCGAAAATTTTCTCAATGCAATGATCATCAGCTGAATGAAACAAAGAATACAATGAGCATTTGATTTTTTTATATTATATCATGACACAATGATTTCTAAGATATGATGAACATTTTGATAAGCAAAACTGTATTGTTTTGCTTTACATGACCAGCTGTGACGGGTAAAATAAAGTCAAAATTCCCCACAGAAAGAATGGCCACTGCTGGCATCAATGTAAACTATTAAAGAAACACTGAAAAAGTCAGGTGATACCCGAAATCTGTATTCCCCTCACATAAATGTCATATGATGATTAGTAACTTTATTACACTACAGATATTACTTACTTTCATTAATGATCAGCATTAACTACTGTAAGTTCCGCTCTAGGACTCACTTCTAAGTTTTAAGTGAAAGTTAATTACCTCAAGGTCATCCAGAGAACGAGTAATACTAAATCGCTTAGATCTTCCAAATGATCTTCGAACAGAAGAACGCGGGGGAGGAACCTGATTTAATCCCATTGGATGTCCAAATTTTGCACCCTAAACAAAACAGAAAATATATATTATTATTTTGCTACTTTAATTTTAGTACATTGCTGATCATAGTGAGAGCATCTGAATTTTAAGCATCAGTAGGTACAGAATTCCAAGGAGATGGATTTGCAAACCTGTAATAGGACCAGAATTTCAACACAAATTGGTCACTTGCCATGCCCCTGTAAAATCATGTATTAAAATCATTAAAGTTATGACTTTTCCAGTCTCAAGTCAAATATCATAAATATTCAGCATTAAGTTCCTGTATGAACATGAGTCATCAGTTAGGTTGCTAAAGTGTACGCATGCTACGTGTCAGTATTACTATGCAGAACTTAATTAAAAGCAAGACAATCCTAGCTCTTTACTGTCTTAACTGGAAAATATTTACAATGACAAAATATTTATTCTTTCTATAGGAAATTACCATCCTAGAAATCGTCTAACCCAGCTTCAGCTGGAATCTTTCTCCATACTTTTAAAAAAATCTTACTTTCACCACTCTTTTAAGACTTGCTACTGTGAAGTCCAATTTTTTAAATCACTCAGTACAAAATGCAGGAACTTTTGTTCTGAGGAAAGAAACTACCTCACTTGGATGTTCCATGGCTAGAATTGGTGCTGCAATAATTAAATCTAATGGCTTTCTCTTTTCCCCATAATCATATTCTTTCTCCTTAAAAAATCACCAGATGTCAGTTAAGCTACAACAGCTCAGCATGTACATATCTAGTTTATGCCAAATGGCAAAGTGTAAGCTTAAACCTAAGAGTAGGCACACAGTCAGTGACTGGTGCTAAGCAGATGTACATAAACTCACTACATTATGAAAACTTGTGATTATGTGCCTGAAATTCTAGATTGCTTTCACTGTAACATTCAATGTGGGGAAAAGTCCTCCCTCTCTTCTGATGCCTTTTTGCTTTAGAAAAGAACAGAGTTTAATTCAGAGTAAATTTGCTTCTATTTCATTTCAGCATCTTTCTTCATCACAGTAAGTTTAAAAATATATTTATTAGTAGTTTTATAATTGCTTATTGGCAGCTTTGTAATAGTTATTCAGTTTTATATTTGTATTTTTTTCTTCCTTTCAGCAAGTTGCTGTGCTCTCAATTCTGAAATATTTTGCTATCCCTTTGATCACTTGTTTCAAAGTCTATATATGTCATATTAACCAAAAGAACAATCGCAAATTTCACATTCTTATCATCTCATGCTAACATCCACTCATACAAAGTGCACTGAGAATATTATACAGCCTCCTTACTGCAATAAAAGGTAAGGTATCCAACAGAAGATGTCTGCCTGTTCGCTTATTCCTATGGAGTCACCACTACGCTTTAGCAACAGGACTCTGACCGTCACCAGTATTCACAACAGACTGTTTACAAGCTCGTAGAAATGTCAAGGCTTAACACAGTACACAGAAATCCAGATCCAAAGTATGTAGCAGGGTTCATCACCGCAACAGGCGGAGACTCCAGCTTCTTCATTCAGTATTAAAAGTGAGCCATTATTATACAAAATCTCCTTCCCTCCCCATTTCCAATTTACTAAGAGGTTTTTTTATTGGTTGGGAAGAAAATTGGGCAGGTTCTGCCACGGAAAACTGGAAATCCAGCAACTAGAGATTAGCTTCTAAAGTTTTTACGAGAACATTTTAAAGCGCAGTATAAACGCGCTAAGATGGCTTTTGCTAAAATGATCAACTAAATGCGAAGACAGGAAAGTTGCTCTCTGTAAACATTCACACCACTGGCATGAGGACAGTTCCTGTCTTTCTGAGCCACTTTTGAAATCATCCATTCATCCAGGCAGGTACCACGAAAGCGGTTCACACGTGGCTCATACCTTACAGTCACAGCGGTCTTTCCCGTCTAAACTGAAAGCTTATACCTAAATGCAGTAATCTGTGTCAAACAGTGAACTCCACATTAACTCCTGACTAAATTCAGCAGTATCCATTACTACTACTGCATAGCATATCAAAACACTGACATAGCTCCTTCTATGTGAGTATGTTCCTGTTAAAGCAGCGTGAATATATGTGTACGACTACTAGGTTTCACCACTAGTCAAGTATGACCACGCCAGTTTTGCAATTTTTAAATGTTTAATCTGTGAATTACTGAAAAAACTAACAGACTACGAACAGCTCAGCAAATTCTAAGGCTAGTGAAATTAATGACATCATTAGTGCAAGTACAACTGGTATTTTGAAACTAATGAAATAGTTACACAGTATTACAGTTACACAGATTCTGCTTAATGGTCTTTCATGTATTTCTCAAAACAAAATGCATCCCTCAGAGGACTTCATCTTTCATAAAAGAAAACCGGTGAAAGGAAACAAAGGAAAAAAAGTATCAATAGCAGTCATGTCTATTTTGAATAACAAATACATTTTCACTTTTCTTTCTAATTCAACCCCAAAAGAACATAAACTGTCGAGCATATGTTTAAATAGTGGAGATTGCCATATACGATTCTGGGAGATTAAGACATACAACTAGAGAACATACACTCAAAAATTTTTTGAAACGGTAACATTACAAATTGAAGGAAGAGGAACAAACCGCCTGAAGACAAATTAGATTCCACTGAGAAGCAGATTCTAAATAAGATTAATTATCACCAGATGCCCCATTTTAGAAGCAAATGCTGCTTACCTATTTATGGTCAGAAAAATAACAAAGAGAAAGAGGGAGATGTGGACAAAAAACACTTGCAAATTGTGTGGTAGTAGAAAAGAGAACAGTAAATTAGTAACCAATCAAAATTTTTATTTACGGTTTTTGACATTCTTATACAAACTCACTACTGAGCCCTGGATGGAATGGTAAAGATAAGAGCAGGAAAAAAAATGACCCTGAGAATAAAACAGTGCTTAAGAAACAATTACAAAATATAAAAATTCACTGAGCTAACCATTTCCCCAACCCATTTGGATAACAATTGCAATTAGGAAAACGTTTTCAACTGACAAAAACCTCTTCCTTGCTCTGAAGAATCAAATTAATAACCTAGGAAATTAAGGAAGGCATTGCTTAAAAAAAAGACTGCAGTTCACAAAGTAGTTAATTTCCTGGTAATGGTGCTGAGAAGTCTCCTGTTTCGTCTTTTCCGACTCTATTCCAGACATTCAGACTATGAAGGCAGACCTCCTTCTGCAGATCAATTAAAAAAATTGCCTCGCATACACACACACACACACACAAATAAAGAAGGAATCACGTAGCTTAAAGCAAATAGCAGCAACATTTTGGCAAATGTTTTTCATGGGACTCTGAAGAGTTGGAAATGAAAGCATCCATGACTTGAAGAGAGAACAGCCATTGCAAGTAGAGTGTACTAATCAGCAGAGAAAGAAAGAAATCCACAGTATTTGAGCAAAGAGAGATTGCTAGTGCAATGACTGATATTAATGTAAATTTTGCAGTCTGTTAGCCATAAAGAAATTATACTTCTAAAAGCCTTTATTATACTATTAAACATATATTAAAAAACATTAAATGAACCTAAAAAGATTTCAAAACAGCACACTACATGACCAACAAAATGCCATTTCATTCACTGTTAGCTGCCAAACTAAAACACTGAAATTTGCCACATGAACACTGGGCTGTGGGGTTTTTTTAAATACAGGTTGCCTGTAAGCCCTAGAACTAATTACTATTTTAAAGATTGTCTTCCAGAAACAGTGTGTTGCTGAATCTAGAAAAGAAAACTCTAAAAATACTAGATATTCAAGAAAAATCTAAGAAATCCTATCACAGAACAGTATTAGAAACTAAAGACCATCTGATACTTCACTAAGTGTCTTCATTTTAGGAATCCAGAAACAAACAGAAAAGCACAGAAATTTGTGACAAGTCGATTAGTGAAAAGCACAAGCTACAGCAATACATCCTCTGCATTTTGCAATACAGATACTTACAACCTTGCTACTACTATCTATCATGGTGAAAGTACAAAAGAACGTATCTCTAAAAGCCTCTATCCTGTTATGATTTGGCAGATGGAGAGGAAAAACAATAAAGGACTAAAGGAATTAGCACACTGATGCTCTAAAAATCCATTTCTTTTTCTATTCTTAAAGTACAAATTATGAACTAGCATAGACTGAAAAAAGTTAAATGTATAATCATAAGAGAAAAAGCGGGACAATGAATGGGTCTGCATAATTTTTTTTTTTTAATAGATGCCTAGATCCCCCCTTTTCCTTAGGATAACAGGAAACGGCAAGTGCAAATATGTTCCTCTGATATAACCATCAATCACTGACCAAACTATAGTCTTTCTTTCCCTTCAAATATATTTTTTTTAAATTTAATTTTTAACCTGCTTACTTGGCCTTGTGGATGAGCTACTTCCTAATCTACTTGACAAGAAAAGCACTAAAAAGAGAAGTCACCAGAGGAGGATTGATACAGCAGCAGTTTGTGAATGTGTTCAAGTGAGAACAGTTTCTGTCTGATAACAAGAAAGGTGTACAAGAAAAGTACAAATGAGAAAGTGGAGAGTGTTGTACTTCACGTATTAGCAGGACAGAGGAAGTGAAGCAGCACATGAGTGATGTTAGACCGCAAACAGAGGGACAGAAAGAACATAAATGATCCAATACAAGGTGACTTGCACAAGTCTAGTTCTTGAAAGAAAGAAAAAGGATGGGCTCTTAGAAGTAATTTTAACTGATAAACAAGTTAGGCAGTAGCTCCATATAACATTATTTTCAGAAGCTGTGCTAGCTTAAGGACTTCACATGTGCCTCTGACCACTCATGCCGACTCCCAAATTGCAGCAGGCTGCCCCCTCATCTCCACTAACAATAAACTATAGTTCACAAAATGAAATCGTCCTGTTTCTAACACAGATCCACAGACAGTCACAGCAACACAACTGATGATGCTCACTGCCAACTCCAGCCTGAGCGTGATAGGAACTCTTTAAGTTGGTACTACCCAAGAAATGCAATGTGAAACTACAGTCGTCAATACGATACT